AAAATGCATTTGTTCAGAGAAATATTAACGTCTGTCTTAACTAAATTAAACATATTCAAGTCAGTAACTCAGGGAAAGTGTGTGTGTGTGTGTGTGTGTGTGGCCTAGCATTACTATACTTATGGGGACCTAAATCTGTTTACAAAGTCACGTGTGGGGACTCGCCTCCCTTATAGGGACAAATGGAGGTCCCCATGAGGGGAATCATTAATTTTAGGGTGAAGACTTGGTTAGGGTTAGGCATGTGTTGGTTATGGTTAAGGTTAGGATAAGTCTCCAGGAAATGCATGTAAGTCAATGTAATGTCTCCTGAAGTGATGTGTGTGTGTGTGTGTGTGTGTGTGTGTGTGTGTGTGTGTGTGTGTGTGTGTGTGTGTGTGTGTGTGTGTGTTAAGCAGTGCCAAGCCTCTGCAGGGACAGTGACAAACTCAGACGTGTTTAGAACTAATGACAAATGAGCGCAGGAGGCTTAGCCTAGTTGGCCAGCGTGAACCTGACTCTACCTCACTGACCCCGTCCTCCTGATGCTTCTCTATCCTTTACCTACTACTCTCACGTTATCATGGTGTTGTGCACAAGTTGGACATGTATACATGTGTCCTAAGTCAGTATATACACTAGGAATTCCCTAACTTTCATATCTTACTACTACCTAACTATAAGCCTGGACAGTTTTGTATTGGGTACAAGGAACATTTGATATGTCACTTCCTGCATGAAGCCCTTCTTTGCAAGACCGCATTGTTTAAGTACTGATGATCACCTGATTAACCTATTCATTCAACAAAACGTTATTATTTGTTATTTATCAGGTGAAACATCAAAGGTTTGCTAACTAGGGATTACAATTGACTTGCCTTTCTTTGGATATTTATTTGCTTTTCACCGTTGTGTCAAAAGCTGTCTCCTTAGCCCTTCATGAGTGCGTTTTTGCAGTGGCCTAGTATCCCAATAAAGCTGCCCTGCCTTTTCATCCTTTCCCTAAATGAACCTCAAACCTGATTTAGATAAAAGCATTGTTAATCATCATCACTATCCAATGAAACATTAATACTGAATGTAGCTCTTTTCACGACACAGACACAGGTCGGTTCTTTAAAACGGGCGTTTATTTCTTGGGAGTTTTCATCCTGTAGCCTTCCCTCTTCCGTTACGCCGTGAGAACTACAACACCGAAATGACACGCATACATAGCCAAACACATTAGCATATTGTGCTACACATATGAATGAAAACAAGAACATGAAAACACAAAACAAATACCTCGTTGGCCGCTTGTCGTGAAAGGAGATTAATTTAGTTCCTTTTCTGCATAACTTCGTCACAGACCTCCCGTCACACTAAACTGTATCACAGACCTCAGCAGAGCTTCAAAAAGACGTCAACCCACATGGAGTTGTACAGTGTAACAGCAAAACACGCAGTACCAGCACATGAACAAACATTAGTTCCTAGGCACAAGAACACATACGCATATCGGCCCAAGATGTAAAACAAACTGTATTAAATCATGCCATATTTAACGATTATAAATAACATGAAATAAAGTATTCATTTATCCAATTGAACTATGACATTAACCGTGTTACTCCTTTTAATTAAGGCAACTTCGTTACGTCATTTACACTGAATATGTTTACATGCCCATAAAACCATGATGCATTGCAAAATCAGAGTCCGGTAGAAATCTCTAAAGTTAGATGAAGTCTGTATGTTATTGGCTTGTCATGTAGTTATTCTCACTTCTCTGCATCGTGTGATTTGGTTTCCCCACATCGACTGTCTACAGTTTGAACACCACTGCAGCTTTTCACACATCGCACCTTCACTAGAAATGATGAGAGGTGTCACTGTGAAACTTGAAAGTGTAGGAGGAGCGGCTAAAGGAAGTCCATTCAGTGTAAAAGAGTATGCAGAGTGAGTGTGGGGGCAGAGTGTAAGATTCCCTTTCCCAGAATATCCCCCTCTTCCCTGGAAGTGTCTCAGCGTCTCGTCCTGCTCTGAGGCTCGTGTTTTAGCCCGTGTGTTTTGGCGCTGTGGAAATAGTGAGTCTCTTAGCTGCTGGAGCAACATATAGACGAGGCAGCCGGGCTGTGTTTACGTCTCTGACATGTTATTGCTTCTCTAGAGCTAGCCTGATCCCTCGCGATGTAGAGCATGCTCACTTGTAAATAAAACAGAGTAGGGCTGAGATCACCAGAGAGGAGTTCCAGCAAAGTTAAATGACATTTACTGTAGCTGCAGAGACGTTAACACTCGCCGCGTTTCTGTCCACGATTGTTTGTCATAACACAGCAGCAGCAGCTACGCACGGCGGCTAGGTGGTTAGCTCGCCTGCAACACTAATGTTTATGGCTGCTGGATAATTGCAAGAATTTAAATCGTCATAGTTTTTGTCAATATTGAGATAATAGGTCACTTTTAAAAGATAATATATGAATTCAACATTTTTACACAACTATTTAAAATAATTATAATTATAGCGGTGGACGTAAACAACGTGACCTAGGAGCTCCGTAAAAAACAATGCAGTCTGACACTATGCGACACGAATTTCATATTTTTGGAGTAATTATACCTTTGTTGACGAACAGAAATATTGTTTTCTGGCACCACTTTAACATTTCATGGGAAAAATCTGCATTTTGGTATGAGAGCTATATATATATATATAATATATATAAATAATTCTGTCCTTATGTCATATGGGATTACAAACACTAACTTGCATTGTTAGTGGCAAGGAACAGGTGCTGTTTGTGTCGCAGAGAAATTCTTGTGAAGCCACAGAATGAATGCGGCGACAACAGCCCCACCCACACACACACACACACACACACACACACACACACACACACACACACACACACGTCAGTGAAAGTAGTGTTTAGTCTATAAAAAAACTCCTTCCTTCCTTTTGATTTTATCGAACACTGTAAACTTGAAGATAGGCAGTAAATGACTTTAAAAAAGGAAACAGGCTGCCGCTTTGAGCCCAGAGGAAGACGTTCAGAGAGTATCAGTTACTTATCGCCCTCAGAAAACACATCACACCACCGCCAGTGTCTGTGTGACCCTCAAGCTGTTCCTTACAGTCTGATCATTGTTCGGGGTGAGGGCGTGTGTGTCTGTAAGACTGACTGAAGGGTCACTTCCCTAAAGTATATCCATGTTGAAACTGATACTCCAGGGCGTCATGAAATACAATGCACTAAAAGATAACATTTTGCATCCCTCCTAATTTTTAAAGAGGCCCTGTTATTTTTTGTGTGTGTTATATAGGTTATTGTGCATGTAAAGGGTCTTCAAACGCCTCTATTCAACTCCTTTGTTTACTTCATGAACATAGTGACATCACTATATTACACTTCTATTGGCTAGCGCTCCAACACATTGTACGTGATAGGCTAAGGGGCGGGACATCTCTAAGCGGTTGATCCATCACAACAGAGCCGGCCAGCTAACCAATCAGAGCAGACTGGGCTCTGGTTTCAGACAGAGGGTGAAAAGAGGTGCTGCAGCACAGACAGTATGAGAAAAATAAAGAGCTTTTTGAACATTAAAGCATGGAGACATGGATAGAGACACTACATACTGATATACACCTGAACATCAGCAGGAGAGGACTCTTTAAAGTAGAGACACTACATACTGATATACACCTGAACATCAGCAGGAGAGGACTCTTTAAAGTAGAGACACTACATACTGATATACACCTGAACATCAGCAGGAGAGGACTCTTTAAAGTAGAGACATACATACTGAGATACACCTGAACATCAGCAGGAGAGGACTCTTTAAATTAGAGACACTACTACTGATATACACCTGAACATCAGCAGGAGAGGACTCTTTAAGTAGAGACAACTACATACTGATATACACCTGAACTCAGCAGGAGAGGACTCTTTAAAGTAGAAGACACTACAATACTGATATACAACCTGAACATCAGCAGAGAGGACGCTTTAAAGTAGAGACACTACATACTGATATACACCTGACCATCATCAGAGAGGACCTCTTTAAAGTAGAGGACACTACATACTGATATACACCTGAACATCAGCAGGAGAGGACTCTTTAAAAGTAGAGACACTACATACTGATATACCACCTGAACATCAGCAGGAGAGGACTCTTTAAAGTAAGACCCTACATACTGATAACAACCTGAACATCAGCAGGAGAGGACTCTTTAAAGTAGAGACACTATATGCTTGAATTACACCTGAACATCCAGCAGGAGAGGACTCTTTAAAGTAGAGACACTACACACTAATGTGAACATAAAAATGAGCAGAATAGGGGCCCTTTAAGTTAATTTCTAGTTTATTTCTAATTTGATATTAAGTGTTTTTTCCATGGTGTTAAAGCATGCATCTCAGTAGAGTGATGTCATTACCAGACTGTTCTAACTTTGCCACTCTGTGCCCTAACCCACTCAGACATGACTAATAAGTATTTTGTGTAACTATCGCACCGCCTCTGTTACGTAACGAGCACTTCCTGTTTTGAAATGAAGGTGCAATCGACCCACTGCACTATTTCTTTACTTGTCTTGTTTCAATTTCTGCAATGTAATTATTCTTCTGACCTTCCTCTGCTGGTTTCTGCTGGTATCTTTTTATCGTTGAACTTTTTACTGAGTCTTCTAAAGATAACAGTTATTTTTAGAATCACTTGCACCCACTTTGCACACAGAAATAAAGTCGAGAAACAGGAAGTGCAGTCTGCTGCTCACGCCCTCCTTGTACCCGCCTCCAAACTTTAAAAAAAAGCATCTGTTTGAAGGGGGAGATGTGATGAAGAACTGAGTGCAGGTTCTTAGTCCAAATGCCTCTGTGTTCCCGCGTGTGCTTATTTCTGTAGACTGCTGATCGCTGGACAATAAGGAAGCTTTGAGAGCTCCATCGCTGCAGTTTCCTTACTCTCACCGGCCGTCACTGACTCCCTTCTTCTTCTCCCATTCTTTCTCACCTCCTGTCTCCATGCAGTCCTCCAGCTCAAACTCCAGCAGAGACGAACACGAGAGGAGCTGGTCAGCCAAGGGATCATGCCACGTAAGTCCTTTGACTTTTTACTGTTTTCTGCACACTATAATGTCACACACCTTACGCCAGGGATGCATACACACAGCAGGAAGAGCTCGAACAGAAAGGGCGAGGCGAGGAAGATTTATTGTTGTCGTATGTTGTGTGTGAAAGCGCTTTATGATGCTTAATAGGAACTTGTGCTGACTGTGTCTTTGAGCCAAGGTCTACGTCATCCGATAGCAGATTGAATGCTTTATTACATAAATACTGAAGTGTTTTTGATTCATTAGTTCAATGTGCCCGTGATTACCTCATACAGGATTTGTTGACTTTCTTCACATAAAACTGTATTTAAAACGTTTTTGCATCACTTTTTCGCTGTAAATGTCATCTGTTATACATGTGTCATATTTAGTGTGTGTCTTTGCACCACTTTGTGTTATCAAATAGGGCAGCTTCCCCTTCTTCTGTATCCACTTCCTGTTTCAGAGTTCCGCACATCACAAGAGGCAGAGATGGGTTTTTTTTGCTTCTGTTTCAGCGTAGATTGAATCTGTGGGCATCAAGTCGGAGTGTTTTCTCCGAGAAGAGTCTTTGTTGAAGGAAGCTGCAGCTGATTCAGAACGCTGCTGCTCGAGTCCTCACTAACACTAAGAAAGTGGATCACATCACTCCTGTTCTGAAGTCTTTACACTGGCTTCCTGTGTGTCAAAGGATAGATTTCTAAATACTGCTGCTGGTTTATAAAGCACTGAATGGTTTAGGCCCAAAATACATTTCTGACCTCCTGCTAAATTGTGAACCATCCAGATCTCTCAGGTCTTCAGGGACTGGTCAGCTTTCTGTCCCCAGAGTCAGAACTAAACATGGAGAAGCAGCGTTCAGTTATTATGCTCCAAATATCTGGAACAAACTCCCAGAAACCTGCAGGTCCGCTGCAACTCTGACTACTTTTAAATCAGCAAGAAGACTTTTTCTTTTTGTCGCCTGCTTTAATTGAACAATTCATATCTTAGACTGCACTGTAACTTTTATCCATTGTATTTTTTCTTTTAATGTTTATTTTATTAGCTTTTCTTTTAATGAACTGATTTAATATGCCATATTTCTTTAATCTCTTTCATTTTTTGTAAAGCACTTTGAATTGCCTTGTGTGACTTGAAAAGTGCATATAAATAACTTGCCTTGCCTGTGAAAAAGCACGGCCTCGTACATTATACGGTAGATTATCTGCTTGATAAAGTGAGTGTGGGAGAAGTAGACAATGAAAGTGAAGAAGTAGTTACTGTTGGGCCCCATTGATCAACTCAAGATGATGATAGGGAGGCTGTTGCAAATCCCCGCTTTGTCCTCGGATCTAACAAGTGACATGTAATGTAATAAGATGCCTCTTAATGTTTTTGTAGGTGTGAATGAAAACGCTTTTTTCTGGATCCTTTGTCACCCATTTAGGTGAAGGAACCAAAGATGTTGCATTTCCTTAAACGTTGGATAATTTTCAGCTGCTATTATTCTACATTACATTTCATTGACTTTTATCCAAGGGGGTCTTACAAAAAGTGCATTCAAAAAACTAACTCCAACGACATGCAATATTACATTATGCTTCAGCGAGTAGTAAGCGAATAAAACCATGAAGGTTAAAAAACTCAAAACAGCTAATAAATAACGGTACATTCTCCTTAAGTAAACCAAACCATTGTTCTGCTAATTCAAACGTCACCAAAAGTGGTACAATTATATTAGAAATGCTACTAGTAACTGACAATATTTTTGATATTTTATCGGTTATCTTGATGTGAGACTAGATACTATCCTATATTTCTGATACTGTAATATCACACAAGTGTATTTCCCTGTTTTTAGGCCTGCATTAACAGTGAAGTGATGTCTATTTTTGAATATTAGTGACTGTTATTAGCTGTTCTTATATTCACCTTTTCCTATTAATTCATTATAACCACATTACTAATGATCTTTTTTTGAAATACTTCACCAGAAATCTATTTTTTTCTATGTATGGCCCAACCCTAACCTGACTTATATCAATACTAGTGAACTATTCTTAATTTATATGCAGGTGGAGGGAGGCGGTGTGGCGCAGTGGGTGTGTGCGTGTGGGTGTATGAGGATCAGGGGGTCAGGTTTCAAACCCCACTGCAGTCAGCATGTCGGTTGTGTCCCTGAGACACTTCACCCCAAATTGCTCCTGTGGGGATTGCCCACAGTATTGAGTATTGAGTCGTTTGGACTAAAAGCGTTCTAACAAGTGACATGTGATGTATTGCGTATATTTTCTCCCACACTGCCCGCTGCAGAGGAGTCGGTGCTGGGAACTGATCTAGGGTCAGTGGTTTAGTTCTCACACTAGTTTTTCAAGCTGCGAGGTGTGAATGAGTAATACTCCACCTACTCACTAACCACCGACTGGGTGGTGTTGAGCAAGGGCCACTTGACCTCAGGAGTTGTTGTTTTGTGCGTCAGTATGTGAGTGTGAAGCAGGTGTTTCTGGACAAACGTGAGAACAAAATACTATCTCAGTAACGGTTAAATGCAAAGGAACGTTAACATGCTGCTAATTGGATGTAATTGGGGTATTGAGCGGTGAGTTTTTATTCAGTATTTTACACTGGAATTATAACTCCTTTGTTATCTTAATTCCCGGATTTAAACCTTTGCAGGAAATTGCACTTTTAGGTTTTATTTTCAATTAATTTGAATGGGACCTGTGGAACAAAAATGCTGCTATAGTTTGATTGAGAAGAAGCAGTATAGAGTTATAGTGTCAGGTTGTGGTGCTATGTTTTCTCACAGTTAACCATGATGAGTTTAAAGGTCTGCTTTAAGCAAAGTGCATCTAAAACCCATATAGTAAGTAACCGCTTGTTTGTTTAAGAGTGGTGTAGGATTAGTATCTGGTAATTTCTTTTAGCAGATACTCAAGTTTGCTTCTCTCTTGTCTTGATTTATACGTCATATGTCCTGAGCTGCTGAATGATATATTTAACCACTTAAGAGTTGACATTTATTGTTGTTATTCTGCAGAGATTAAAGTGTCTGTGTCATGTTCCCAGTATTGAAAGCAGATTCTTGCACGAAAGCCTCTTAAGAACAATATATCATTCTCTAAGGGAGCCAGTTAGTCTCCTTGTCATCTGGAGATTAATCTCTGTTCTGTTTTTTTTGGTCTGACTCTTCTGTATTTGAGTAAAGCCAGATGCACGCTGTGGTGCTTTCACTGTTTCTGTGCATTTGAGTAAAAGTAGTGATTGATTGGCACAAAGAAGGCCAGCTGTGCAGACATGCAATTGCATTATTTCATACTGTCTGCTGAAACAGAATAACATCTCAATTACAGCTACATTATGAGATGGATTGCAATAATTCTTCTAGAGTCTCAAGGGTTCATTCCGGACAATATTACAAAAAACAACAAAGCATTACTGTTAAATAGACATGTTATTTCCTCTACGCCTTTCCTACTAATGTCAGAGCAAGAGGCGCTTTCACACCTAAGTACTTTGCCTACTTAGTTCATGAGAACTCTTTAGTTCTCATGAACTAAGTAACAGATCGCGTTCACACCGGAATAAATCCCTGAGGGAGGATTAGGCAAATGAAGCCGCTGACGTCACTTCTTCTTCTTCTTCTTCTGCTTTGGGTTTACTGGCAGGCCGCAAACAACTTCACGGCGTATACTGCCATAGATATCTATAACACACTAGATGACTCACCCGCGCTGCTGGCCAATGGAGACCGACGTTGCCACATGCGGTCATCTTGCCACAGGCAAGCTCGCTTCATCATAACATTATGGCTCTGGGTGCACTATTGAAATAACCGTAGATTGCTCCATTTTTCAACCGGTTTGGTTCGTTATAAACATCAAAGATGTAGTTATGATACTGCATACTTATAATTACAATCATGGACTTTTTTTTTCAAACATGTCTAACCCTCCTGTATCATAGCCATGCTAATAACCGTTTATAATAAACCAAACCGTTTGTAAATCACTCAAGATTTCAGCGAGTTAGTTAAGAGTATGTTTGTGCAGATCACTCACCTTACAACAGCTGTAGCAGGTAGTTGTTGACTGTGGTAAGATGGCCACCGGTGAGCTACGCTGGCGATCCCCTTGAGCCATCTAGTGTTTTATTATATATCTATGTATTACTGCCACCCGAAGTCCCCGGAGTTGGGGACTCGGCTTTCTACTGAAGCCTTCCGAGTAAATCGCCAGAAACGCCGACACCTCCTCATCTCCACCGCTCCCATGTTTTTTGTTGTGTTGCCATCTGCGTTGGTGCGCGGAGCTAATGCTAATAATGCTAATGCCAGCAAATACAATGCGGCTTCACAACACTTTATCCGAGTTTACGGGGCGTGGTTTTACAATCCGCCCAGCCAATCAGAAATTGGAACCTTTTCCTCCCCAGGAAAGTACCTGCTCTCTAGTAGGGACTAAAAAGGGGGTGAAAAGGTCTCATGAATAAGTTCTAGTCCAGATCTTTTTAGTGTGAACCGCAAAATCCCAGGAACTATTCCTGGGAAAAGTACTCTGGGTGTGAAAGCGCCTAAAGTGAATCCCTGATATTATATTCTTTATAAAAGGCCAACATAAGTCTGATATATTCACATAATGACATCAGTAAAACTCTCATTGCATAAGCAAGACATGTGTTGTCGTCTTTCAGCTGAGGATGTGAAGGATCAGCTGACCGGCGGTGTGTTTGTTATGATTTGTGACCGTTTTGTACATAACAAGCGTTTGGTATTTAGCTCTTCTCTAAGAGTCAGGGCTTGTGACACACACCACACACACACACACACACACACACACACACACAACCACACACACACACACACACACACACACACACACACACACACACACACACACACACGCACACAGTTGGCAGTTGACACCCCACTGTCTCCAGGATGTCCACACACACCCTCACACACCTTTTGGATTTCACCAGCTCTTCTTGACCAATCTTAATGAACGCTACGTTGCATCATCG